AGAAGGAGCCACATGGGTGACCTGCAAGGCTTAAAAATACCCCAGTCTCTTTTAAATGTCCTTTAAATCCTGCTGTGCCCAAGCCAAAAAGGGACGTGGTGGCTCAGGGGCTAAGATGCTGCGCTTGTCGATCAGAAAGGCCGGCAGTTCGGCGATTCAAATCCCTAGCGCCGCGTAACGGAGCAAGCTCCTGTTCCTTGTCCAGCTTCTGCCAACCTTGCAGTTCAAAAGCACGTAAAAAAAAATGCAAGTAGGGACCACTTTGTGTCAGCTTTGGAAGCCATATTAGCACCAGACGCTTCCACACTGCCACCTTCTTGAGCCTGGGAAAATGGGGGGGGGGGGGGATTTCACACCTTCACACTGAAACTGAAAGAGAAAAAAGAATCCAAATGTTTCTTAATTTGGAATAAATGGCATGATTGGGTGACATACAGAAATAAGAAATTAATCTGTAAGAGACCTCAAGAAACTAAACTGTAAAGATGTAGACCAGGGGTGTCCAACCTTTCACCTTCCCTGGGCCACATTAGAAGATGAAAATTTGGTTTGGGCCGCACATAATTAAATTAAATAATTAATTAAATTAAATAATTAAATTAAATTAAATAATTAAATTAAATTAAATTAAATTAAATTAAATTAAATTAAATTAAATTAAATTAAATAATAAAATAATAAAATAAAATAAAATTATTATTTATTATTAATTATTTATTATTTATTAAAAATTATTTATTTTTTATTTCATAATTTTCCGGCCAAATTTTGCGGGGTGGGGGGGAGGGGGGGAAGAAAGCTCGCCCGCCTCGCACCTACCTCTCCTCCTGCAAATTATTTATTTTTTATTAATTTTCCAGCCAAATTTTGCGGGGTGGGGAGGAGGGGGGGAAGACAGCTCGCCCGCCTCACGCCTACCTCTCCTCCTGCAAATGCAGCAGCAGCGGCAGCGGTGGCGGGGGCAGAAGCAGCAGCGGCGGTGGCGGGGGCAGAAGCAGTGGCGGCGGCAGCGGCGACGGGGGCAGAAGCAGCAGCGGTGGCGGCGGCGGCAACAGCAGGACTTTTGGACTGCGGCTGCCCGCCTTTTCTGTTGCTCGCCTCACCCCGCCTCGCGCCTACCTCGCCTCCTGCAAATGCAGCAGCGGCGGCGGCGGCAACAGCAGGAGGTGGTGGGGCGGGACTTTTGGGCTGCGGCTGCCCGCCTTTTCTGTTGCTCGCCTCGCCCCGCCTCGCGCCTGCCTCTCCTCCTCCTCCTCGCTGGATCTTTCATGAAGGTTGGGGTGGGCGTTGGGCCGCATTACGAGGCGACCTGGGCCGCATGCGGCCCGTGGGCCGCGGGTTGGACAAGCCTGATGTAGACTATATAAGAATAACAATTATAGAAAAAGTCATTAATTAATATTAGATAAATGTAAATACAATGTGTTAAGATATATAAGATAAGAACCTGTATACATGTCAAAAATGCTGCTGAAACTGTGATGTTTTATGTTGTAATAATGGAAAAATAAAAAAAAATATTTAAAAAGTGCAAGTAGAAAAATAGGGACCCCTTTGGTGGGAAGGAAATAGCGTTCCGTGCGCCTTCGGCAGCGTTTACTCATGCTGGCCACATGACCACAGAGACGTCTTTGGACAGCGCTGGTTTTTCGGCTTTGTAACGGAGATGAGCACCGCCCCCTAGAGCCGGAAACGACGAGCACGTATTATGTGCGAGGGGAACCTTTGCCTAAACAGCTTTCTACAAGAGAAAAGCATCACTGGTCATCCTTGACTTACGACCACAATTGGAAAGGACTTCAAGGCAGTGGCTGAGTGACTTGCAGCCGATTTTGCAAAGGTCATTAAGCGAATCACTGCAATTTTTAAGCAAATCGCACAGCCGTTTAGCAAATCCGGCTCCCCCCATTAACTTAGCTGGAAAGTTAATATTTAAAGTTAATTAAGCAGCCTGGAAAGGTCACATATGATGATCCTTTGACCCCTGGACTCTGCAACTGTCGTAACTACTTGCCGGTTGCTGAACAGCCAAATTTGGACCGTGTAACCTCTGAGATGATGCAGTAATTGTAAATGCAACTTGTAAGCAGGGGTGGGATTCTGCTGGTTTGGGCGAATCCCTGGCTCCGAAGACCAGCTGGGAGCGAACCAATGAGTACTGCCCCTCTAGAGCCGGGAATGACTGGCATGTATGGGCGAGGGGTCACCTTTTACCTTTTACCTTGATGCCCAAGTCAAAATAAGTAATTCCCCGACATAACAGCCGTTGTTGGCTGTTAAAGTGGGATGATTTTCCACATTTGGGTTCTTTAAAGTGAAAAATGGACTTGCAACATAATTTTTTCCTCCAAAATGGGCAGTTTTTTTAAAAAGAGAAAAAACGTGGCACTTTGAGCACAGGAAGGACGTGCTCCTCTGACCTATAAGAGCTGCCCCTTGGGCCACCTTTGCTTACGGTTCCCTTCTCCCCTTGGGCCAATGTGCCCAATTTATGAACTCTTTCAGTTTAGTGCTTTGCTGGCATCCTGTCATGAATTGTTAGGGGAGGGGGGGACAGGAAGGAAGGCTATTTGGCACATAGAGGGTAGAGATGGGCAAGGGGTGTGAGTGTGTGTGTGTGTGTGTGTGTGTGGAGAGAGAGAGGGAGGGTGGGAAGGGGAGAGAGAGGGAGAAAGAGAGAGAATGAACGGTGTGAGAAGTAGCCTGTTCCAAGATTCAAGGCTGTGGAGCCTGGGAAAAGAATGAACTGCACCAAGTGGCACCTACCGAGCTAATCCCCAAATGCCTTTGGGCTACAACGATTGGGTGGTGACAGACTGGTCGAGGGGTGGGAGGGCCGGGCAGAAGAGGAAAAAATTGTAACGCTTTGCGCAGGAACCTCAGATCTTGTTCTGACCCAAACCTTGTTCCAAGGAAACAAACATGAAACAGAGGTAACAGCAAAAACTTTTAATGATTCTTTACAAATTCCGTTCCTTCACGGTTAAAAGGCTGTTTCAAATTAATAGTCTCTGATAAAAACGAGCCTTGCCAAGGTTGTGCAAGGCTGCCAAGAACACGAGATAAAGTTACTAAGAAATATTTCAAACACAAAGAGTCTCCAAACACCAACCAAAATATTCCGACCGTCCACAAGGCTTGAGTGCAAAATCTTCTTTGCTTCCTGCAAAGAACTCCGGATTCTCAGCTGGCTTTTATCTCTCAAGGGAAGGGCCATTACCTTGAAGCCTTACTCCCGAGTTGCCCGTGCTGCTGCAGGTGCTTTTTCCTTTGAGCAGCCCTGCACGCACACACGCTGAGCACAGGCTCCTCAGGGGCTTCTTTATCACTGCTGCCAGCCCCCACAATCTCCAAAGGCAGGACTCCCTGATGGTCCTGGCCCCATCCCTGCCTCACACGCAGGCCCCTCGTCCGAGTCCTCGCTGTCCGAGACCTCAGCCATCCACACCTGCTGCCAGCAAAGCACAACAGATCTAACCTTTCTGTTTGCTGCCACCAGCTATCCTCAGTAAAAGAACCTATCGCTTCAACCCAATGGAGTCGAGGGTCTTTCTTTCCTAGCGACCTAGACGGGGCAGGCCTGACAGCTAGCCACTCCTCGCCAAGCTAGTAGTCCAAGTGTGGGAACTTCTTATGAGTGAGCGCTGTGGCTTAGCCTGGCTTCTAAATTGAGATGCAGATGGCCCTTGCCTTACAGCCATTCCTTTAATGATTGTTTGAAGTTGCGGCAGCACTGGAAAAAAGCGGCCTATGGCTGGTCCTCGTGCTTATGACTGTCACAGCCTTTCCAAATGTGGGCACCTGGCAACTGGCATCTATTTACCATGGTCACCGTGTCCCATCATCATTTGCAACCTTCCCAGCCAGTTTCCGACAAGAAAAATCAAGAGGGGGGAGGGGGAAACCGGATTTACTTAACAAATATGTGGTTCGCTTAACAACAGTGGCCAAAAAAGGTCATAAAACAGAGAGTGGCTCACAACCCTCTTGCTTAGAAATAGAAACTGTGGTCGTAAGTCCACCTGTTCCTGCCACTCACTAGCCCAGGGATGGGTTTAAGCAGTTTTATGGTGGCAGTCCATCATTAACGCCTGAGAGCCTGGCTGAGGATTTTCACCAGCCGTCCCAAAGGTGCTTTTTTCAAGAGTTTCTGGTTTTCCTTTGAAGACGTTTCACTCCTCATCCAAGAAGCTTCCTCGGCTCTGACTGGATGGTGGGGAAGGGAAGGATTTATACTCCTTACAGACAGCTGGTCATTTGCGTCCTTTTAGAGGGTCATTGTGGCCACTTGGAGGCTTATCTGTGTCCTCAGGGTCACCTGAGTACTGCAAATGGTTCCTGTAGTCTTCAATTATTTCCCCCTCTGGAAATCCATTCCTACTCCCACACCATTCCAAGGGGGTTCATCCCAAACTGTATGGCTAAAAGTCTGTAGATATTCTCAGTCACCCAAGTCATGGTTGTCCCAAAGATGCTTTTTCAGGAGGCAACTGGACTTTCTTGAGTTTTTTTATTTGAAGACGTTTTGCTTCTCACCCAAGAAGCTTCTTCAGCTCTGACTGGATGGTGGGGAATGGAAGGATTTATACTCCTTACAGACACCTGGTCATTTGCGTCCTTTTAGAGGGTTGTTGAGGCCACTTGGAGGTTTATCTGTGTCCTCAGGGTCACCTGAGTGGTGCAAATGGCTCCTGTAGTCTGCAATCCCTTTTGGAAATCCATCCCTAACTCCCACCCGATGAGTGAGCTAACCCTGAAGAAAGGAGTCAAACTGGCTGGAGGGGGCTCACTCTCCATAAGCAGCAACGGGCGGAGGCTTGGCCATCCCATCCTCCCAGGAATGCTGATGCCTCTTGGACCTCGGGAGGTTGTTTTTTTCCTTGGCTCAGATCCTGCCCTCCTCAGGGCCATGTGCTGGTTTGGCCCAGAAGCTTCCTGGCTCTTCACAGCAGCTGCAAGCTGGCCGGCTTACAAAGGAACGTGTTTCCTGCCTGCCGTACTGTTTTCAATTTGGAGACTCGTTTGAGAGTTTGCAGTTCTGCAGAATTTTGCATCTTCGTACTTTTTGCACAGTTGATGGTTTCAGGCAAGAATGACGAGCTCTGGGAGGCTCAGCAACCTCTGTGAGGTTTCAGCCACTTTATGCTCTTTTTTTTCTTTTCCAAAGAGCATATTTGGATGCCATGTCCTGCCGACCTGCAGGCACCCTGGCACCAAGCTGGCTCACACTGCCAACCTGTGAAGGGCTATGAGAATCATCTTGGGAGGGCTGAAACATTCTGTAGCCCCCCCTAAACCAGCATTTCTCGGTCTTGGCAGCTTGAAACATTGCTGGCTGGGGAATTCTGGGAGTTGAAGTCCACCTATCTTAAAGTTGTTACAATTGAGAAACGCTGCCTAAGCCAACTTTCAGCTTTTCTTTTCCTTTTTCTTCAAAATTTTATTAAGTAAATCATTAAAAACATTGGACATGGTGTGATCGTCCCGACAATCCTGATTGTCATACATATTATGGCATAGAATACATATTTTATATACATATCTACATTTATACATCTGCACACTGCAAAAACATATGGACTACACAACTCGATCAGGGCAAAGCAATCTACATAGACTTCTGTAAAGCCTTTGATTCAGTGGTACACAACAAAGTACTTCTAAAACTAAAATCTTATGGTATCTCTGGAAAGTTGCATAACTGGATAGAAACATTCCTGTCAAACAGACAACAAATGATCAAAATTGGAAGCGTCTTATCAAATTCTGTACCTGTCAACAGTGGTGTCCCCCAAGGCAGTGTTCTAGGACCAACTCTCTTCATACTCTACATAAATGACCTCTGTGACCATATTAAGAGCAACTGCGTTCTCTTTGCCTATGATGTAAAGCTATTCAACACCACCGACAATACTGCTACCCTTCAAAAAGACCTCGACTATGTATCAGAATGGTCAAACAAATGGCAACTTCAAAACTCAACAAATAAATGCTCTGTCTTACATATTGGCAAAAAAAAATCAGAAAATAAAATACAAGCTGAATAGTCAAGACCTTGTTGATGATCCAAACTCTGTCAAGGACCTTGGAGTTCTCATCTCTAATGATCTAAGTGCTAGAGCCCACTGTAACTACATAGCCAAAAAGGCATTAAGAGTTGTTAACCTAATCCTACGTAGATTTTTCTCTGGTAATATCACACTGCTAACTAGAGCATACAAAACATTTGCTAGACCAATACTTGAATACAGCTCATCAGTCTGGAACCTGCATTACGTATCTGATATTAACACAGTTGAGAAAGTCCAGAAATATTTCACAAGAAGAGTTCTCCACTCCTCTACTCGTTGCAGAATACCTTATGCCACCAGACTCAAAATTCTAGACCTAGAAAACCTAGAACTTTGCCACCTTCAGTCCGATCTAAGCATAGTATATAAAATTATACATTGCAATGTCCTACCTATCAATGAATACTTGAGCTTCAACCATAACAATACAAGAGCACACAATAGATATAAACTCAAGGTTAATCGCGCCAAACTTGATTGCAGGAAATAAGACTTCAGCAACAGAGTGGTCAATGTCTGGAATACCCTACCTGACTCTGTGGTTTCTTCCCCAAACCCCAAAAACTTTAAACTTAGACTGTCTGCTATTGACCTCACCCCTTTCCTAAGAGGTCTGTAAGGGGCGTGCATAAGCGCACCAACGTCCCTACTGTCCCTATCCTATTGTTTCTTTTTTAATTTTTCTTATATGTATCCATTTCATGTATTCATAACTATGTTTATACTTATATCTGTTATCTTACAATCGCCTGACTAAATAAATAAATAAATAAATAAACAAATATAACATTTATGCAATAGTTTCCAATTCTAGTCATACATTCTGCCAACCCTATCTCTTTTGATTCTAGATCCTTCCTTTTCCCCCACCATTGATAGAATTTATCCCATACTTTATAGTATTCTATCTTGTCTTTATATTTCAGCTCTAAAGTTAATTTATCCACCTCAGCACATGTCCATATCTTTTTTATTACATCATTTTCATCGGGAATTTCTTTATCATTCCACTTTTGAGCAAAGGTTTGTTTTGCTGCCGTAATCACATGTATTATTAAATAGACTTCTTCTTTGTTGTATTTTTCTGTTATAATTCCAAGAAGAAGAAAATTCTGGTTTATATTCCAAGAAGAAAAAATTCTGGTTTATATTCCACTTTATGTCCTACCATCTCCTCACGCCACCTCTGAATTCTCTGCCAAAATTCCTGGGTTTTTCTACATTTCCACTATATGTGGTATATGAACCCTAGCATTTCCAGCAGTTAGGTGATATATTTTGATACATTTTAGACAATTTTGCTGGAGGAAGATGCCACCTATAAAACATTTTATATAGGTTTTCCTTATACGATGTGGGCAATTTTTTTTTGTTTCTTTCCAATAAAGTTTGCCAATTGTCCAAATTGATACCATGCCCCAAAATTTTTGCCCATGCCAACATTGTTTCTTTTACCTGCTCCAGCTTATAATCCAATAAACATCTGTAGATTTTCCTTATCAGTTTGTCCTCTGATCCAAGTAATATTTTCTCCAATATCATAGGCTGTCTACTGATCCTCCATTCTTTCGTATCTTGTCTATATCTTGATTGGACTTGCAGGTAAGCCCACCATTCCAATTCTACTTCGTTGATCTTTTAGTTCCTGCCTTGATTTTAATTCTCCTTCCTCATTTATGATGTCTTTATATGTGATGGCTTTTCTTTGATTAAAAAAGTTCGGGTGGACTAAAGCTTTTCTGAGGGCACAAACAAATCCATGCAATCCCTCCCAACAGACTGGGAAGAGCACACTCATCCACCAGAAGCCACAAGGATAAATTCCCCACCAAACCTATTTTTAGCATGTCCCAGGGCTTCCCCCCCATCTGCATCAAAAGTCCTTTCACAGTTTGACCGGAGCAATGTATGGGGACCGCATGCCACAACACCTGAGTTCCCAAGGAAGAAAATCCAGATGTGTCTCTCTTTCTCCCCCCACAACCTGTTTTACAAATGCGCCAAATGTGTTTCACAGGGATGCCTGGAACTCAGCAGAAGCTGTGCAAGAGGAAGGAAGGAAACTGCAAAAAAAAAAGGAAGAAGGGATGAAAGAAAAAGCAGGAAGGAAGGAGGGAGGGAGAAAGGACAAGACATAGTTGGAAAATGTTCCAGCTTTGGGGGTTGATTACAGATGATTAATGATGTCTAAGGGCCAATTAAAGGACAACTCTCATATCCTCCAATCTGGCAACAATATCAAGGACTGTTTTGATGTTAGTTTTATAGGGAACAGGGATACCCATTCCACCATTCTTGCAATCACAGGAACCGAGACTTTTCAGCAATTGTGGCCCAAGATGGCTTCAAGAACTGCAATGAGGTTTCGTGGATGCTGGAACCTGTTTCTGAACTAAATCCAGAAGCTGCTTCTGTCTTCTTCATAGATCCTGGGGCCAGTTATTAACAACCCAATAAAGTCTGACACTTAGGCAAGAAAAACCAAAAGGACATATCTAAACTGGGTGAAACCAGGCTTAATAGCAGGAACTGTGAGAAGGATCTTGGAGTCTTAGTGGACAACCAGCTAAATAGGAGCCAGCAGTGTGCAGTAGCAGCCAAAAAAGCCAATGCAATCCTAAATTGCATTAACAGAGAGATACAATCAAGATCAAGGGAGTTACTAATACCACTCTATAAAGCCTTAATAAGACCACACCTAGAGTACTGCATCCCATTTTGGTCACACTATAAAAAAGATGTTGAGGCTCTCGAAAAAATGCAGAGAAGAGCAACCAGGATGATTAGGGGACTGGAGACTAACACATATGATGAACAGTTGCAGGAACTGGGCTTGGTTAGTCTAGGGAAAAGAAAGACCAGGGGAGACAGGATAGCAGTCTTCCAATATTTACGGGGCTGCCACAGAGAGGTCAAGCTATTTTCTAAAGCACCTGAAGGCCAGACAAGGAATAATGGATGGAAACTGAACAAGGAGAGATTCAACCTGGAAATAAGGAGGAATTTTCTGGCAGTGAGAACAATCAAGCCATAGCACAGAAGTTGCCTTCGGAAGTTGTGGGAGCTTCACCACTGGAAGCTTTCAAGAAGAGACTGAACTGCCATCTGTCAGAAATGGTGGTGGTGGTGGGGTTTGGACTAGATGACCTCCAAGGTCCCTTCTACCTCTGTTAATCTGCTAACTGGGTGGGGAAGTCTGGGAGTTGAAGCCCACCTAACTTAAAACTCGCCACAAAGTTGAGAAGCAATGCTTTAGAAGTTTAGCACAAACTAATCTGGAGCTGATTAGCATCCTGCAGTCCATCTGAGAATGATGTGAATTTTAATCCCAACACACTGATGAGTGCCCCAGGTTGGGAAAGCAGATGTTGCAGAATAAAACACAAAGAGAAGCCTAAGCTTGCAAGAATTCTGTTTTACATATATAATAGAAAAGAAACAGTGGGTAGAAAGATCCCCTTCTTCACCCAGAAGGAGAAGTCAGCTTTCTTTGCCAAAAACACAGAAAGAATTTGTTGGAACCCCCCCCCCCCCCGCACCTCCCAGGATAATAAATATAAGCTTTGTCTTGAAGAAGCATGCCATGGCTAAACACGACGAAGTAGCCAGGATGTCCCTTTTCTGCTAAACTAAAGAATTGTGGATGTCAGGAAACGAAGATTTTGTGCTTCAGCCATAAGGGGACAACTTTCTGCCAGCCAGAAGATGATGTTTTCTAGGATTGCATATGCACAGCTGGAAAAACCCAGAAATCCCCGCAGACCATCTTATAATCAAAAGAATTCTGGAATGTGCAGAGATGGATAGGTTAAAAATTAAAGGAAAAGAAGATTCGGATTACTTCATAACATGAGAACTATTCTATAAATGGTTACATGATAGATATTGAGGTTAGAGGAGTGGGATTAGGTGAAACATGCTTTATAGGCAAAAGAAAACCAGATGAATAAATATTTCTGACAGTTATATAATCAACATTATAATGAAAGATAATATAATATGATTGATGTTGTCATATTTGTTTATATATTACACACACACACACACACATATATATTAATAATGATGTTTGTATATTAACATCTTGGACACCTAGAGAGCACACTGCTCAACATAGAAAGGAAATGTATTGTATAAAATAATAAAAACATATTTGAAATAAAGAAGATGCTGTTTTGGTATTTTTTAAAGGCTACTCTGTTTTGAGAGTGGGTAGGATCATAAATTTCTCTTTGGGGAAGAGGAAAAACTTAAGATCCTACCTACTCTTTGTCCTTAACTAGAAAGAAATGGAAGAAATATTTTTTCTTTTAAAGAAATGACAAGGGTGCACTAGCCCTTTGCAGGGCTGGGACACACATTTTGCTCCTTCAAAGTATTTCATCATCTCCAAACCCAAGCAGGATATTGTCTCAAAGAGGTTCTGGGGGGCCTGCATAGGAATTGACCATTGCTGACTCTGAATTAAAAGAAGCAGCTATTTTGATCTAGAATCAATGGAAGCAAGCTGGCTGAGAAATTCTGGGAGCAGAAATCCACACAAATAAAAACTGCTGAGATTGAGAAATTACACCTCATTATTGTAGAAAGTTAGCACCCACTTCTCTCCTAGAAGAATGAAATATTTTAGGAAATATTAAAAAGGCAGAATATTATATTTCCCCTAAAAGAGAAATTCAAAAATCTTAAAAGATATTTTGTGCCCATTAAGAAAGACTGGGCCAGCCTATCTACAAAACAAAATACCTTCAGCTCCAGGATGACATGACCCTTCAGGACATAATAGGATCAACCCACTAAGAGCTCATCTCATTGCACAATCTCCTAAGGACATTGCATCACCCTCCAAACTTCAACCAAACTTAGCTCAGGCAACTGATAGAGCCAGCTATGACCCCTACATGACCCCTACAACAACCAATATAATACATGTCCTTGCTCAGGAACAGGAAACTGAAGTGCAAAGCCCAGAGAAGGTATAAACACCCCCCCTACTCTCAACTCCATGTGGTCAGCTGCCCAGAACCACACGTGCTTGGTGGTTCTGTTCATCATTAAACCATCTTTCCAGTCAGCTGCCAGCCTCCATTTTCTCTCCAGTGCCAACATTATCATATAGGAATATGCATGAATAAGACTTTTATAAAGTGTGTAAAATGCTATCTTCTGCTTATTTAATCGGACTGGCTAATCTCTCAACCAGTGTTTCTCAACCTCCACAGCTTAAAATTGGGTGGACTTCAGCTCCCACAATTCCCCAGTCAGCCTGCTTCCACTGGGTCTATACAGGTAATCCTCGACTTACAAACAGTTCACTTAGTGATCAAAGTTGCAATGGCACTGAAAAAAGTGACTTACAACCCATTTTCACACTTATGACCATTGCAGCATCCCCCATGATCATGTGATCAAAAATTTGGATGCTTGGCAACTGATTCATATTTATGACAGTTGTGGGATCCCGGGGGTCAAGTGATTCCCTCTCGCATCCTTCTGACAAGCAAACTCAGTGGGGAAGACAGATTCACTTAACGATCATGCAACTAAATTTCACAACTGCAGTGATTCATCTAACAAACGTGGCAAGGAACGTCATAAAATGGGGCAAAACTCCCTTAACAAATGTCTCACTTAGCAACATGCATTTTGGGCTCAATTGTAGTTGTAAGTGGAGGACTACTTGTCTTAGATTTATTTCCCAGCCTGACTGGCTGGGGAATTCTGGGAGTTGAAGCTTCAAGCCAAGGTTGAGAAACACTGTTGCAAACCCAGATCTAAGTGTCCCTTTAGCAAGGAGGACCCAACAGGAAACGGGGCACTCCTGCGTTGGTTGATTTCCTTAAAGAACACAGATCACCTTGTTGTAAAAGGAAGAGGAACCTGCGACAAGTCAGAAATGTAATTTTTTAGTCTTAAGAAAAGCATAAATGTCAACTCATAAAACATTCCTATGCCTGTTTCAGTAGTTGCCATAAAAAAGAGGGGGGGGGGGGAGGAAGGAAATCTGGAAGAACAGTGCAGCAGTTTGAAATCGAAAGTACATTCCAACTCTTTATCTTTAAAAGATTCTAACTAAACTACCACAGCTTTTGCCCGCTAATATATTTAATTGGAGAACGTGATTGATGACACTCAGCCTGTGAAAGTGCTCAGTTGGAGAATTTGCTTTATGACACACCCGGGAGGAGAGAGAGAAACAGGGTCACAGGGAACTGTAAATGATGTATGCCAGAGTTGGCGTCATACAGGGCAGTGCCAGCATGTCGCCTCTAATGAATCCTTTGAAGTTTTTTGAAGTTTGGCTCGAGAATCATGATTTAATTAGAGTGATTGCTGGAATCCATTTGGCTTTGCTTCAGCAAGCAAGACCGCAGATGTATTTCAGCTTCCTTGGCTAAGCCCAGAGGCAGACAGGGTAGGGTGGGGGGTAGGGATGGGGTGGGGTGGGGGTGAGGTCTTCCCGTGTGACAGCCACTTACAACATGCCGTGGAACCCGGCTTGGCAGAGGCACCTCCCGGTCTCAAAGTGGCACTCCCCGTTAAAACAGCTGCTGCAGACGAAGGCACAGTTCTCGCCGTAAGTCCCGTTGCGGCATTTGGTCTCGCACCTGGGAAAAGGACAAGAAGACAAACACAGGGTAGTGGAGACTGGGCTCCATCCAGGGGTTGGCTTTGTGGTGCTGGCTGCAGGAGCCCAGGGCATTTTAGATTTTAGAAAGAGTCCACATAGTCATTCCCCACTCAGTATCAAAAGATGCAACAATATTACGTATCTGGGGGTGCAGATAATTAACAATCTGAACAGGTCTCTCCACACGTCGTCCTTGGGGATGCGTGCAAACTGGTGCCTGCATTTTCTGCATCGGATGAGGAGGGCACCTCTTTCTCCTTCTCTTCTGCCCACTTTTTACAGAGGCACGATTGAGAGCGTTTTAACAAACTGCCTCTCTGTTTGGTTTGATGGCTGCAGTGCCTCCGATAGAAAGTCCCTACAGTAGAGCTGGCGTCGTGACGATACGGCATGCGATCTCGGAGGTCTGAGATCGCTGCCGATATCTTTGCTCCTGGATGGTCCTATCGGATCTAAACCGTCCCGAAGAGATGGTGAAAGTGAAGAGCGCATCCTGTCGATCCCAGGGATACCGCAACGTCCCTGGCAGATCCAGGAGAAGCTCTTCTTGCCAGCGGCAAAGAGGCAGCCATTAAAGCTGCTGAAGTTGGGACAGCTCCGAAACGGAAGAGAGCAGAAAGAGAGAGTGTGCCAGTTTGGTGAGAACTTTTTTTTTATTCTAAGATCTGAAAGGACACCCTAAGGAAAAGAAAGAATCTGTAAAAGTTTTGACAAGTGATTAAGCAGCGATTTTAAACAGGAATGCCAAAGTAATGTTTTGTTCTGTTTTTCTCATTGCTGGATCTTCTATATATGATCTTGTATTTTGAAACTGGACTGGTTTTTTCATTTATATCTATTTTTTTCTTCTCCTTTTTGATTTTGTAATATTATAGGCTAGAGGCTCCCTTTAGTTATTTCATTTTTTAAAAAATATCTTTTTCTTTTTTTATTAATTCTTATTATATCCTGCTCGGAAAAGGAGGGGGAAAGTGAGAGCAAAGAAACTTTGTAACACTGCCAACTAGAGGCTTGAAAATATTCTATTTCCCTGTGACCAGACAAAGCTGAGAAAGAAAGAACTGAGACTCTTTTTCAAGGACATTGCTATTTGATAAGATAGAGGGAACAGCATGGGAGAGTATTATTGCAGGTGCTCTTCTGGGTTTCTATCAACAGCTGGAGTCTGGTGTTGAAACCGAGGGGGGGGAAAGGTGATAAGTTTTGGGAGAAGAGAGTTATAATAAGAGCCTTGGATAATTAAACAAAGTGCAGTGTGCCCTTTTTACTTTTCCTAAGTTGTGCTATCACTTCTCACCAGCTTTATTGTATTTTTTAATCTTTTTTTTTTTGTAATAACTATTTGGGTTTTTGGCTTCGTTGGAGCTTGTCTTTGTTTTTCTTTCTTTCTTTCTTTTTTTTGGAAGTCCAATCTCTACATTTGCTTTTTATTTTAAAGGGAAAGCCTTAAAAGCCTTTTTTTCTTTCCTGGTATTTTTGTTTTTTCATCTACCTTTCTGGTTTATTCTTATGCACTTTTTTCTATTTGAGACCTTTCAATTGGATTAAGGTGTTGAAGAACCTGAAGAATTTTTCCTTTTCCTTTTTTTCCTTTTCCTTTTTTTTCTTAAGTCTTTTTCTTTATCTAACTATTGATTGGATTAAGGTATACAAGAACCTGAAGAAATTTTGTCCTCCCTTTTTATTATTATTATTATTATTGGGCTTCTTTTTTCTACTATTTTTATTTTGAACTATAATTGGTTACTTCACAATTGGATTAAGGTTTAGAAGAACCTGAAGATATTGAATTGTTTAAAATTAGTAGGAAATTTACAGCTCCAGGTTCTTCAACTTCTACGTCTTCCTCTCCACCATCTGTATTGTTCAATACAGACAATGTTAAAGCAAGAAAAAGAACAAGAAAAAGTGACTCTGCAGATGATTATGCAAGGAATTCAAAATATTCAAGCAAGATCAGAGAATATTGAAAAGAGAATAGAGAACATTGAACAAAGAACAGAGAACATCGAACAAAGAACAGAGAATATTGAACAAAGAACAGAGAACATTGAACAAAGAACAGGGAAAACCGATGAAAAAGTGGAGAACATCCAACAAATGATGTTGAAGTATGATGAGACATTCCAAAAGATTGAAGAAGAAGATAAACAAAGAGACAAGAAGATTAGAGATATTGATAATAGATTAACGGTGGTTGAACAAGATAAAAGTGGTATGTTGAGATGGGAGATGGATAGATCAGAATTCTATCTTAGATTCCAAAACGTAGAGGAAGAAAAAGGACAAAACCTAGCTGAGATAATGATAGAAATACTGGCTGAAGCTTTGGAAATAACTCAAGAGAAGATGATGGATGGAATAGATGAGGTTTATCGAGTTTTCACAAGATATGCGATGAGAAATAGCTTACCAAGTGAAGTTCACATTAGATTTACAAAGAAAGCCATTAAAACGCAAATATTGCAAGTGGCAAAAGAGAAAACATTGAAATACAAAGACAAGGAGATTGTGGTCTTGAAACAAATACCCAGAAGAGTGAGAGAGATGAGAAGAGAATATTGATTCTTGACTAAAATGCTACTTAAAAAAGAGGTGAATTATAGATGGCTGATTCCAGAAGGTTTAATGTTCACATGGCAAGAATAGAGACATAGAATTGACTCAATTGAGAAAGCGGAATTATTTTATACAGAATTTTTTGGAAGGAAAGAGGAAGAGGCAGAAAAAGAGATCTCACTAACTGAATTCCAAGAGGACTGCCAAATGGCGATTGAAAAAGAAGAAGGTGCAGTGGTGGAAAGGTGGAAGCCAAAGAACAACATGAACCAAGATCTACGAGAGCTGCTAAACCTAACTATAAAATATAACCATGGAAGAGAAAAAATTGATTACAATTAATATAAATGGACTTAACTCAGCCGTTAAAAGAAGGAAAACCTTTCATAAATTAGAGAAATTAAAATTTGATATAATTTGTCTACAAGAAGTACATATTAAAAAACAATATGAACAATTGTTGGTAGAGCCAAAATTAGGGAAAATATTTACTTCCTTGACTCAATGTAGGAAAAGAGGAGTGGTTTTATATATTAAAGAGACCACCCCAGCAAAATTGATTTATACCGATGATGATGGAAGAATACTAATGGTGGAAATAGTGGACAATAATATGAAAACACTCCTGATTGCAATTTATGCTCCGAATGACAAACAAGAAGAATTCTACAAAAAATTACATATGAAAATAATTGAATTGGATTATGCTAATATAGTTATGATGGAATTGTAGACAATAAATTGGACTATACAGCACAGAAAACAATAAACCAAAACAGAAAGACTCTCCCTAAATATTTTTTTTAAATGGTAGATGAAATAAACTTAAAAGATACATGGAGAGAAAGAAATGCTAAAACTAAACAATACACCTTCTATTCAAATAGACACTTATCATGATCCAGAATAGATATGATATGGATGTCAACAGAATTAATATCTAACATTCAAGAAATAAATATTGAAACAAGTACTTGGGCAGATCACAATCCAATGACAATTAAATGGAAAGGACAAAAAAGAAGATCTAGATGGACGTTAAATAATACTATTTTAAAGGAAAAAGACTTCACACAGCGGATGGAGAAAGAATTGGCCTTTTTCTTTGGAGAAAACAAAAAAGAAGATACATCAATCCAGAATGTATGGGATGCAATGAAGGCATATGTTAGAGGCTTGATAATAGACTATATAAGGAAAAGGAATACTATGAAAAGATTAGCCTCTAAGGCCCTAGAGGATGAGCATAAAAGACTTGAAAAGAGCTACAGAAAATGCCACAGAAAAAGGACATCAAGCTAAAAATGGATATAATTAAACACAAAATGGGTCAAATAGAAAAAGAAGAATTAGCACAGAAAAATAGAGGTGCTAAACAGAACTACTTTGAAGACGCAAACAAACCAGGTAGATGGTTAGCATACAAATTGAGAAAGGAGAAAGAATCAAGGAAAATATTGCAATTAATAGATGACCAAGGCCAAGTTTGCCATGGTAGCAAAGAGAAGAAGGAAATCATTCGAGACTTCTATGGGAAATTATATATGCAAGAGAATATTGATGAGGAAAGAGTCAAACAGTACTTACAGAATGCTAATTTACCTCAGATACCTAAAGAGATTGAAATAATGTTAGAAAGCAATATAACGATGATGGAGTTAACTGAAGCACTCAAGAAGCAAAATAATGGAAAGGCACCAGGCCCAGATGGACTTCCGGCAGAATTTTATAAAACATTACAAGAATTGTTGAATCTTCCATTGCTAGAAGTTATGAATGAAGTTATGTTAAAGAAGAAGATACCTAAATCATGGTCAGAAGCCTATATTACACTTATTTCAAAAGAGGAGGCCGACCCATTACAAATTAAGAACTATAAACCCATTTCCCTACTAAATGCAGATTATAAAATCTTTGCTTCAACATTGGCAGAAAGACTTAAAAAATATTTAAATAATTTTATCCATTCTGATCAAAATGGATTTCATTAAAGACAAATTAAAGACAATATGAGAGTAATCTTGGACACCTTGGAATACCACGAGGCACATCCTGAAAAACAAATGGCTCTGATATTTCTAGATGCACAGAAGGCATTTGATAATGTGAATTAGCGATTCATGTTATTACTGCTGGAACAGATGGGCTTCGCTAGAAAATTTATTAAATCAATAGAAGCTATATATCATAAGCAGACGGCAAAGGTAATGATAGAGGGAGAACTGACAGACTCTATTAATATAAGAAAAGGAACAAGACAAGGGTGCCCACTATCACCTTTGTTGTTTGTGTTAATTTTGGAAGTGCTAAACAGAAATATTAGAGATGAAAAGAATATAAAAGGAATGAAAATCAAAAAGGAAGAATTTAAGCTGCAAGCATTTGCAGATAATCTGGTTTTCATCTTAGAAGACCCTCTAGAAACAGCACCAAAATTGATAGAAAAGATAGAGACATATGGAAAGGTGGCTGGTTTGAAAATAAATAAAGATAAGACAAAGATCTTGACAAAGAATATGCTATTAAGACAAAAGGAAGAACTGGCAGACCTATTGAAAATTCAGGTCACGAATAAGATCAAGTACTTGGGGATATATTTGACAGCAAGATGTAGTACATTAAAAGAGAATAATTATATTAAACTTAAACAGCAGATAGCGCTAGATTTGGCGAAATGGGAAAACTTACAACTGTCACTAATAGGGAGAATATCAACAATCAAGATGAATATATTACCCAGAATTTTATATTTGTTTCAAACAATTCCAATTAGGCTTGGAAAAGATTACTTTGAAGATTTAAATAAAATTGTGTTGAAATATATATGGCAAGGTAAGAAAGCGAAAATAAAGTTAAAACTTTTGCACGATGCTAGAATTAGAGGAGGATTTGGTTTGCCTAATTGGGAGTTGTACTACCAAGCTACAAATCTGATGTGGGTTACGGAATGGATAACACTAAGAAATACCAGATTGTTGACATTAGAAGGACATGATTTGTTGTTGGGGTGGCATGCTTTTTATGGTACAAAGGAACTAAAACACAGGGGTATTTTAGAAGACATTATATACGGGAGTCTCTGTGGTTAAACTGGGAGAAGATTAAAAGACAATGTTATTTGAAAATTCCAGTCTGGTTATCGACTATTGAAGCATTTTCGTATCCTATAATATACAAAAAGGAACAAACGGTTAGATATGGTGAAATATTGAATGAAAAGGGTGAACTTAAATCTATGCAAAAACTAGAGGAACAAGGTATAAAGATGAATTGGTTTTCATATGCGCAAATACATTCAAGGTATGATAAAGATTCTAAAACAGAGGGTTTCTATGATAAACTGACTGACTTAGATAAGATTTTGACAGGTACTGATGAAAAGGTGATTAAAAAATTGTATGAATATTTATTAGAAATTACATTAGAAGAAGAACAAGTTAAAGAAACTATGATTGCTTGGGGGAAGAATTTTGGATATGGGATTGATTGAGAGAAATGGCAAAAATTGTGGTCTCAAAATTATAAAATGACAATGTCAACAGCATATAAAGAAAATTTGTATAAGATGTTTTACAGGTGGCATTTCCCCCCGACAAGAATAGCAAGAATGTTCAAGAATAAATCCGAAAAATGTTTGAAATGTCATCAGACACCTGGTTCATATTACCATATGTGGTGGACTTGTGCGGATGCTAAAAAATACTGGACTAAAATCCACATGTGGTTGGAAAAATGACAAAAAAACACATAGACTTGAAACCAGAGATATTTTTATTGGGAATTTTACCTGAAACATATAGTAAAGACTTGAAATACCTGATTGTAAATGTATTAACAGCGGCTAGGATTGTATTTGCTAAAAACTGGAAAAATGAGAAAATACCATCACAGGAGGAAATCATTAAGAAAATATTGGAATGTGCTGAAATGAGTAGATTGACGTTTGAAATTAGAGAACAAGAGGATAAACAATTTTATAAAATTTGGGAGCTTTTCTATCAATGGTTAGACAATAAAATACAGTAATGAATTATGTAGACTTTTAAAAAATAATAAATATACAAAGATGTACTTCTTTCTTATTATATCTACAAAAAGATTTTAGGATAGATTTGGAAAGGTAATATGAACTGTTATAAGATCTAAGTAAATTATGGTTATCTTGTAAAACATGAATGAATAAAAGTATAGTCAAATGATTGATTAATAATGATACTAAGGTATTTAATTGTTGATTGACAATATGAGATTATATGTAATGTAATTGTAATTGAATACTGCGAAATGGAAGCACAAAACAATTTGTAAACCAACCGGCACACTGTATGTATACATATGGAAGATGGCTTGATGTTTTTATGTTTTGTTTGTTTATGTTTGTTTTTAAAAACCAATAAAATTTGGGGAAAAAAAGAAGAAAGTCCCTACAGAGAGTGGTGAGGACAGCCGAGAAGATCACAGGAAGCTCGCTTCCTGTCATTCATGCTTCAGCAGGGGGCTGGACTAGAAGATCTCCAAGGTACCTTCCATCTCTATTCTAATTCTAAGAAGATGGAGGCCCTTGAATAATGGATCTGGCAATTTGGGCTAAGAGTACCAGGTTCTGAAGAAGAAGCAATGGATTAATCTGGTATCAAATAAAGGCTGAGCGCCTTGAGGTGATAATCTAGAACCCAAAATGCACATGTGTTGAAACGCACATATGTCACGTGTGTGCAACCCCAAGGGCTGCAAAGGGAAGAGGCAACAACAGACCAGAGACAGGATACTATTAAGGACAATATTTGGTACTCAGGGGCATCAGCTACTTACCTGTCTCCAATCCAGCCCGGGTTGCAGTGAGAACACTTCCCGTTGATATGGTTGCAGGTGTGGCCATCCTTACAGGGGGGGCAGATCTGCTCACAGCCCTCCCCGTAAAAGCCCGAAGAGCAGATCTGGTCACATTTGGTGCCATTCCAACCAGCTTCACAGGCCAGGCAACGGCCATCCACAATTGTACACGGCTGCAGCTCCTTGCACTGACCGCACCTGCGAAGGTAGAGCAGAGAGCGTATGAAGGCCACAGGATTAGGCAGCAACCTGTTTTGGCTTGTCAGCCGCCATCCTCCAACAATCGAATCAGAGGAGGAGGCGGAGGCATGGGAGTCAGGGTCCGCATCAAGGCAACCTGGGAGCTCCGAGGGGGAAGAGGGAATGGAGCTGGCAGAGAAAGAGACAGAAGTGGAGCCTGTGCCATCCGCCAGTCCTCAGATGGAGAGTCAACAGTCACCAGGTCTGGAGGTGGCTGGTGAGGAAGAGGATGTGCAGATGCACAGAAGGTATAGGAGAGGAGAGCAGTGGAAATCTGTGGGCCGATCCTTGGGACAGAAGAGCCACTGCTGCTAGCGAAGCCCTACCCTAGCTCTGGGAAAGCCAAGGAAAATCATGAAAACCATTAAAAAGTGAAAGTTAGACTATATCGGACATGTGATACGACACCCAGAAAAATACGGCATCCTTCACTTAATCCTCCAAGGGAAAATTGAAGGCAAACAAGGTCCAGGCAGAAGAAGAACATCATGGCTTCAAAATCCAAGGGGCTGGATAAAACTCAACGGCACTTTTTCATGCAGCTGTTGATAAAAATAGGACCGCCAACATGATGGTCAACGTCTGATGACGGATAGGGCACAAGAAGAAGAAGAAGCAGGGCTGAACTTTGATAAAGAGACTGGTTCTTGCACAAACTTTCTGGGAAGATCATGTGAGGGTCTGCTGGTCAGTCCAGGATGCCATTCCTCAACTTTTGCAAGCATGGTCAACTAGGGAATTATGGGAGTGGAAGTCTGCCCCTCTTAAACGTGCCCATGATTCCGGTTTGCAGCGCTTCGGGGCAGGCAGGAATCTGCGATTGTGCCTGGTTTCTGCCTGCGCTCGCCGCTGGAGTGCCCTGAGCCATCTGGCTTCAGGGCTAGCCACCTCTGTAGAAGGTGGTGAAGATAGGGGGGATCTGGCAGGGTCGAGAGATATTGCACTTCTCTTCCCTAGATGGCTAAACTCCCTTTTCCGAAGGCGGTAGAGCGGCGGTCAGAAATGGCCGTCACAAAGAAGCGCTCAGACGGAAAAAGAAAGTGCAGGAGGAGTTAAGAAGAAGTGAAAGTTTTTTTGCTGACCGGGACAAAGCAACAAGGAAGGTACCCTGGAACTTAAAACGTGCAAAAGATACATCATTCCCAGAGATTTACAAGCGGCAAATGGAAGTTAAAAGGGAAAGTTCTATTTTTTTCACTCTCCTTCCTAACGTTGACAGCAAACAGAAAAAAAAATTCTCTTTTGTTGTAAGTGGGAAGGGAGAGGAAAAGAACTGGAGCAGGATTTGGAAGCAAGGAGGAGATTGCCTAGAATTTTAAAGAATCATTAAATACTAACAAGACTTCTAAAAGATACATTTTAACTGGAATATTGCAACTAAACAGTAACCCCAGAAAGAGAAAGTGAAGAAAGAAGAAAGTGCTAAAAGAAACAGCTTATTTGGACTGTTTGGTGACTTTGGGACTTTTGGAAATTATCTTTGAAGGACTAAAAACACTTGGGTGGTTGTTTTGAAAAAAAATATTTCTCTCTACAATGGCATCACTTGTGGATGAATTGAAAATTGAATTAAAAAAATACAAAGAAGAGGAACAAGAAGGGAAGGACTCTCTTGGCTCTCTTTTTCAATTCTTAGAAATGGCGATTTGCACCTATGAGAAACTGACTGCGCAACAAGATGATTTGGACAAAGAAGAAGCCATCTTTGATGAACAAGTTAACTTTATTTGGGGAAGAAAGGGAGAAGGAGGAAAAGAAAAAGGAGACTTTAAGACTTAAAAAAACAACCAAAAAGGAGAAAAATAAGGTGAAAAGTGGATATAATGTTAGAAAACAACAGAAAGGGGGAATACAGAAGAGGAAAAGGGAGGTGGAGAGACAAGGGGGTAAAAAGGGCAGGGAGAAGAAGAAGCAAGGGAGGAAGGAAGGGATGAGAAGCTTCAATGGTGTGGAGCAAGATGTAAAGAAACAAGATTCATTTAGAGATAATGGGTAAAAATTTAATTCAAAAAGGGATTCTGCAAAGGTACATAAGATTGTATTGTTATATTTGTACTTAGAAATAATGTTAGAAAATTGGAAACAACATGTGATCAAAAAATGGGGTAAAATATTCAGTGTAATTTAGTGAAATTTTTGTGAATAAAAGGAAGGCAATGAAATAAATGAGAGAATTGAAGTAGGAAGAAATGGGAATATTTTAATGATACAATGATTTAAAATACAAGTGGTGTGAAGTGGGGGGGGGGGGAAATAACTATGGAAAGCTTATAAGTGTTCCCATAAAAGTATGATATTCAATAGAAAAGTAATGTGTAAAATGTTTAAGATTCAAATGAATATTAATATTAATGATAGATTTGAATTGGTATGGATTGTTGTTTTAATTATATTACATATTTACAATTTTTTTCTTTCTTTAAAATATAATGTGTAACTTTAGAATGTACTAAACAGAATCCCAATGGAAGCTATGTACTATACTAAGTGTTATAAATTTAGGGGAAAGAGATAAAGGCGTCATACTCCAATTAGTGTACAGGAGAAATTTTGTTTAAAGAGAAAAGATAAATAGATAGCTGGAAACAGAACAGACAAAGAATAATAAGTATAATGATCAGAACTGAGATGAGATAAATAAAATAAAACTAAGAAAGTTCAAAAGAGGGGAGAAGCTACATAGAAAACGTAAAATGGTAATAAGATATGGAATGGTATATAAAATGAACATGAATTTAAACTTGTGTCTGTATGAAGAGATGTAACCTGGGATCAAGCAGCTTTCAGAAAAGATGTTTTATGTTTTTATGTTTTATGTTTTGTTTGTTTGTGTATTGTCTTTGAAAATTAATAAAATTTGTTTAAAAAACACACACGTGCCCATGATTGAGAAACGCTGCCCTGAACTGTTCTGAGGAAAGGCGCAAAGGGGGCCGGGCACGAGGTGAGCCTCTCCGAATCCCGGGGGGGGGAGACCCCCAAAAGGGGCTCCTGCTTACCGTCGCCTGCAGCCTTGTCCATAGAAGCCGGCCGGACAGGCCTCGCGGCAGAACTTGCCCCGGTAGCCTGGCTCGCAGGTGCAGGTCCCGTCTACCTGGTTGCACTTCCCCATATGACACTGGCAGTAGCGGTCGCAGCGGGGGCCAAAGGTGCGGCTGCGGCACTGGCAACGCCCCGTGAACTGCTCGCAGGGTGAGGTGCTGCAGGCACACTGGTTGTTGCAGGTGCGGCCCCACCAGCCTGGCTGGCAGAGGCAGTGGCCGGTCTTCTGGTCGCACTGTGAGTTGAGGCTGCAGTAGCAGGCGTTGGCACACAGGGGGCCCCACCAGTTCGGCTCACAGGAGCACTTGCCCGTCTTCTGGTCACACTTGCCGTGTTTGCACAGGCAGACGTTCTCGCACCGGGGGCCCCAGCGGTTGGCATTACACGTGCATTGGCCCGTCACGTCCTCACACTGCCCGTTGGGATAGCAATTGCACAGCTCTTTGCAATCCGGGCCCCAAAAGAGGCGGGGACACTCTGCAGGGGACGAGAGGAGCAGGTGAGCACTATGGAGGGTCTTGCTTCCCATATTGCTATTATTCACAGGGCTTCACAACCCTCTCTAAGCGGTTTACAGAGTCAGCCTTTTGCCCCCAACAATCTGGGTCCTTATTTTACTGACCTCGGAAGGATGGAAGGCTGAGTCCACCTTGAGCCTGGTGAGATTCGATCTGCCCAATTGTAGGGAGCTGGCAGTCAGCAGAAGTAGCCTGCAGTACTGCCTTCTAACCACTGAGCCACCGTGGCTTAATGCTTAATTAATTTCTGTACCACATTCATTTTAGATCTTTTTTAAATTTCAGTTTGGGATTTGATATTTTCATTATCATTCAGTCCCACGGGTCTTTGATTAAATTGAAAGATGAGATTTAAATCACAGAGGGAAAGGTCCTCTGGGGCTGAGTCAGCCTCGAAATGCTACTAGTAAATTGATTTATTTATGTATTACATTTCTATTTAATAAATTTAAATTGGGAAAGTAAATTGGATTGGAGTTGCCACTTGCACTCAGAGTCAACAAATTGCATTTATTAGAAAATCTTCTTTGCACTTAAAGCAGGTGCCTCCAAACTCGGTAGGTTGAAGATGTCATGCCCCCATCGGGGTCTGAATCCGAGGAGGGAGATGAACAGCCATCAGGGAGCAGGAGAGTGGTTCTGTTGGCTGTGGAGGAAACTGGGGAAGGGCAAAGTCAGGCTGGGCAGATCAGGAAAAAGGTAGAACAAGGGAGAGCAGGTTCAGAGGAAGACCAAGGCACACCTCTTCTTCATCCTAGGGCACAGGGAAGAATGGAGAAGAGAGCAACCTGGGTTGCATGGCTTGCGGGGGAGGAGAGGGCCCTGATTCCCTTCACAAGACACACCTGGGGAGGGAGTTTAAAGGAGAGGCAGATAGGAGGGATGGTTGTTGGGAACAAACGTTGAGTTTATCTTGTGTCGGCTGCTATTATCCGAGTTCCTGGCATCCTCCTAACTGGTTTCATTTACTGCCATGTTACTTTATTTCTGGAACTCTGCATCTTGCTCTGCCAGATTTATTACCTTATTTTACCCTGTTGGATTTATAGTTTAAAGTTTTCAGTTTACAACATTTGGACTGGAATAACTGCAGCCAAAGACTGTTGCAAGTTCGTGGGAGAGTTTTTTCTCCAGACGGGAAGATAACCGGGTCATTGGAGGCAAAGTTGGAGCTAAGAAAGGAACTGATTCTTATTCTCTGGTTGTGTTGCCTTTGTGCCCCGGGTCATCACAGAAGACTTGTGGACTTTAACTCCCAGAATTCTTCAGTCACCATGACTGGCTGGGGAATTGTGGAAGTTGAAGTCCACAAATCTTAAAGTTGCCAAGTTTGCACTGAAACTATCCTGTTTTGTTGGTTAATAAAACCCTTCCCTTTCTCATAGCCTTTCCTCTGAGAACGGAAGGAAGTGGCACAGCAAGGTGGGACGTTGGTGACAGACCTGGAGACCCCAAGTGAGGGTCCTGGGATGGGGGTGGATTTGAACCGAGGTCTTCCTAGCCTCTGGCCTCTGAGAAGCCCACAAGCAACACCCAAAAACAAGGTTAAAAAGATGAGATATTAAATCGAATATCATCGCCTCCCTTCCTCATTTATCTTCTCTGCCGGACAGCTGGGAATTCTCAAATCTGGATGCTGCATGAGTGGGAACTCTTGGTCTGGATGGGACAGGGGGGGTTCTGGCCCCAGATGGTGGCCCATATTTCCTCTCCCCCCCCCTGCTCCCCCTCCCCGCCCTCCCCAGTCTGGAGGATGCTCCCACACTTACTGGTTTCGCAGTTGGCCCCAAAATAGCCATGGCGACAGCGACACTCGTTGGGCCTCACACACACCTCGTTGTTGGTACAGGTGAAGTTGCCCTCGCAGACGGCTGCAGGGAGAGAGAAGAGAAGAAGGTAAGGGGGCTCCAGGGGCTTCCCCCCATCCCATCCCCTCCCCTCCCCACACCTGGAGATTTTGCTGTGGGGTTTTTGGCTTGGAGAGAAATCAACCAGGAGGACACAAAGAAACATCCACATCCTGGCTAGTTCACCATGATTTATACCGGGGTCGGTGGGTGGGTGGGGCGTTGCCAGCTCGATATCACTCATGTCAGCGGGGGGGGGGGGGCACCTGTGGTGGCCAAGTACTAAGGTGGGCCTTCCCTCAGACCCTCCCTCACTCTCATTATAATCCCCTCCCTCCCTCCCTCCCTCCCTCCCTCCCTTCCTTCCTTCCTTCCTTCCTTCCTTCCTTCTATGGTGCGCAGTGTTAGAAGGTAATATTGCAGGCTAGTTCTACCCACTGCCATTAATTCAATTCCGACCAGCTCAAGGTTGACTCAGCCTTCCCTCCTTCCAAGGTCGGTAAAATGAGGACCCAGATTGTTGGGGGCAAGAGACTGACTCTGAGAACTGCTTAGAGGGGGCTGGAAAGCACTGGGAAGTGGTATATAAGTCTATATACCACTTCCCAGTTCCTTCCTTCCTTCCTTCCTTCCTTCCTTCCTTCCTTCCTTCCTTC